AGAAATATAGCATCATGCCAAGTCCATGTTGCTTCTTGTCAGACCTCGGGAACCTCGGTTGTCTGATGTGTCTGAGTTCCGAAGACGATGGGATGATTCAGATCTTGTTTGATCGACAACGACTTCATGGGACGACAACACCACGCAGACTCGCGGCGGCTCTGCCAGCAACATCGACCAGGACAACAACTAAAAATGCGGGGTTTGTGGAACTGTCCGGCGGCTTTGGACGGTCGTATCTTAGCGCTATCATCGGCTACAGAGGGCATCCCCGTTGCACATCATGCCAGATCGACTCCTGCAAGCCGAGGAGGACACGACACGACGCGGCGCAGGCAGGTACGTGGTGGCGCACCATGGTCGATAATTCTCTCGTCGTCAGATCCAGTTCGTCCCAACTCTCAGATGATGCCACGGCGTCCAGAGCGCTGCGTTCTTTGGATGACTTTCAGGTCGCTGCTGGGGTCGCATGACTTGGCCCTGTTCCTTTAGACGAGCAGCCCGGACCAGGCTGTATCTCACCGCTGTGGATGTGGATAGAGCAAGCATCAACTCTGTATCAAAAAGGCCCAAGCGGTATCGCGGGGCTGGGTGAAGGTGCGAGCCGATGGTGCAATCAACACGTTGTTGCGCCTCTGCAGAAGCGCTCTTCCAAAGGGCTCTTACGAAAAGTGCACATACTCTTAATCGGGATGCTCTAACAATAAAGATAGAGTTGTGTTGGCAGACGCCGGCAACGTTGGCTCCATCCTACCATCTGCGCATCTGCGCATCTGCGCATCCCATCCCGCAAGGTGCGGCACTTTTTGCAGCGTTGCATGATCGGATGATCTTGCCAACGCTTCGAGTCGAAGCAAGGACCAGGCACTTCAAGCAGTTACCATGTAGCTGGAAACTGCTCGGCATCCGTGTCGCGGCCCGCTAGGCCTGCAACCGTTGACTGCAACGAGGAAGACGAAGTTGATGCATGCATGACAGAAAGCGAGATGAAAGGGTCACTCAAAGCACCAGTCACGAGGCCAAAGCAAAAGGGCATCCGACAGGCGGCCGTCGACCCCAAAGTCCAGGCCTTCAAATCTGCCAACGCTCTTGGTGCTCTTACCCCTGAACCAGCGTCCAGACACTTTTTTTTTTTCCCGGGCGGTTCAGAGGGCGGGGGTCCACGGACTTCCATGCCTTCGACTTCTTGGGGCCACGAACGTGGTGAGGTTGCAACCCGCCGTCGGTAGCCCATCTTTGCTGGACTGGGCATGGGCTAGACGGATTCCTAGGAATTAGAGACGATACTGAGGGCACATATAGGCCCAAGGCAAGGCGAGTATGCCATCAGACTTTCCAGAAAGAATCATACGCATCTGGCAAAACTGGCGCTGGCACTGGCGTAGAGTCCGTGGTCGAAGTTTATTTTGCAGGCTTCTCATTCAACAGATCCACAGCAGTCAGAAGAGACTTCTTTTCGAAACCAACATCTCCTATCAGGCCCACCTCACCAAAGTACACCTCGGAAGCAAGCCGACGGTCAAGACAGCTTCTTCTTTACGCCACAATATCTCTGCAGAAAATAGACACTGTGGCAATGATTAACGTCTGCTATGCGCAACGACAGTCTCAGGGCCGTTGCTTTTCGTCCCATGTCAGTGCTTGGACATGCAAGCCAGGATCCGCAAGACTGACAGGTTACAGCAGGGATGAATGCAAAGGTGGTGCGGCGCGACCCTCAACGGCCGCCCATCATTGACCCGACTCGGGAGTCGAGAGAAGACATCACGAGTTGAGACTGCGAGAGCCGCCCAGCAGAAAAGATGCCAACGGCTGCAGCGCCAGTGAGATGAAGAGAGACGGCCACGTCCCCGCCCTGTCACCTGGTGGTTGCATACGTCTCATTCAAAATGGGTATCCACCAATATCGACCTTGCTGAGGTGAATGAGCGGGTGCTCTCTGAGCCTGGATTATCTGCAGCGCAGTGTGCAGTGTCATTTCGCCCTCCGCTCTGTTGTCTGGAGTTGGCCACCCCTCCACCCAACCCTGTCTGCCCAGACCTACCACACCCACCCTTCCACACTTCCTGGCCCCCCGTCGTGATGGGACAGGGGTTTGAGGAAAGGGCCGCTCTCAGGCAAGTTGACGGCGTGTAGCCCCGTGCTTTCCTAGCACACTCCAAGAGCTCGCAAGATGAGCATGGGGTGTAAGATGGGGTGAGATGGAAATGTGACAACGACGAGCCAATCGTCACGCCGGCCGCCTTAGATGAGACGATGGATACCCAGCGCCTGTTATTCGACGCTCGCGGTGCCTACCTACGAATGCCTACCTTGCCTAGGGTTGGGTTCACCGGCTGGCTCGCCTTGAGAGGCGTGCGTGCTTCCTGATGTGCAACACAGACGACGGATCGTGCAAGGGGTTCAAGAACGATCGAAGAATGGGTTCTGGTCCCAACGCTTCCGTCATACCTGGCGCTTATCAGGTCGACGTATTGCCCAGACAGAAAATCCGGAGCGGAAGGGGTCGCCAGAGAAGGCCTGGGAGAGAAGACCGCACGCTGTTCCGAGCGAGCGCTTCTCAGCATGCGGTTTCAGGCTCTTTGCGGGGGACCGAGAAGGTCGTCTATCCGGATTTTGCCTTTCCTCTTTTACCTCATTTCCAGGATCACCACAACAAGATCTGGTACCTGCAGTAGCAGCAGTCTCTTTCACTTTCGTCTGATTGCTTCTCTCTCCCCTCCTTCCCCCACCTCCCTCCTCTTCTTCCCCTTGTCACTCGCTGCCGTGCTGTCTTTTGGATCGACTACTCTGGCTGAGACCTCACCTCTCTGCTCTCTTCGTCTCTCTCACATTTCGGGACGCAAGACCAAGCCGGGCAACATTCGATTCCTACGTGGACTGTAGCAGCAGCAGCAGGTTAGTCTGGTACTGGTTCTCAGGAATCATATCCGGTCGCCTTCGACGAGCCTTGCAACCTTTACCACCCCTTTGAAAATCTTACTTCGGCATCCTCCAATGACCGAAGGACTGCTACGAGCCCCTCGCCACCTCTTGAAATCTATGCGATTCTTCCTATAAACGAGACTCTCTCCCCAACAACTGCCACCCCAGCTCAGCACAAAGCAGCAACCCAGGTGCGTGTACTTCAGCTTGCCCGGCTAGGGTTTATACACGTCATATCGTCGAATTGAGCTTTACCTCCTTACTTCGCAACGCCAACGATCCGACACAACGAAAGAGAAGCGGTAAAAGGTTGAGCGAATAAAACGGCCTCTGTCTGTTTTCTGAGACACAGCTGCCCAGCCCCCACGCCCAGTTGTCGACAAGCGGCCAGGCCATCATTCAATCAGTACGCCGTTGCTTAGCGCGGACACATTCGACTAATAAGCTGAGACTGCCATCTGGTGGCGCTGGAAGGATACAGCCGTCTGCCGCGGTCCATTCGGCTTCGAACACAACTCCTCCAGCTGCGTGCTGTTACTTAGGCACTCCCTGGATGCAGCTGGGAGCCAAGGTATGGGAATTGCCGTCACTACTCAGCCCTTCTGCAGTAGCCCTATTGCCTATCGTCTCAATGAGGCTCCTGGGCTTTTCACCCTCTTCCGTCATCCTAGTCTCCGTCATCCTAGCCTCCGGGCTCCGCTGGCCGGAGTCTCTCATTTTCCTTCTTGCCGCGTTGAGGTGAACAGAATCCTGACCAAGACCTCTCAGGCTTCAGAGGTCCAGAAAGAGTTGAAATCTGGGTGGCAGGGGTGATTTCAGAGTCCAGGGCCGGGCCCATGATCATCGGACTCGGAAGGTATTTGTTGACTACCACATCAAGAACACGCGAAGAGATCCCTGACACCTCTGGCGTTGACGGCCAGGCCGATAGATCAGGTACATCTCTCTCTCGTCACCACGCCGATTACGCACCCAAAAACTTGGATGCCCAAGTAACGTCGGTCGGTACCTTTGTGGTCCAGACAGGTTCCATGTTCCGAGAGGCAAAAAAATAAATCAGTTGTTGGCTAGGATCAGCAGCAAGAACGGGTACGTGCCTTTTCATCATTCTTCTTCTCCCCTGCTTGGTGCTCGCCTCGCATCTCTCTGCCCAGGTGCTCTCGCTCTTTTCTCTTTTTGGGGTTGATGTCAGTCAACCTCTCGACGCCGTATACCGGACCGAAGACGCTCTTAGGGTTGTATCAAAAAAATCTCATTGTACCTTTTACCTCGCAGCTGGCATCTTCCGGGCCCCTTGCTCGACCACCTCGCCCTACGCACCTCACGTTACTCCCACCACGTACACAACCGCCTCGTGTATAAGACTTCGAGCCCAACGACTCGAATACACACACACACAACTGCCGCATCTGCTGCATCTGTCTGCAGGAAACGTCGAGATACCCTGGCAGCCCTCGCCCTCCTTCTGGGGCCCCTTCTTTCGCTTTCTGAGCTTGGGTTGCAATCAGCCCACGGCAAGAGAAATAAGTTGGGGAGCCGACCCAATTTTGACGCCGGTCACCTCACAGAAAAACTTCCAACTTTGGTACACCATCCTGCCAGTGCCGCACTCGCAGCCAGGCTCGACCCTTTCACCCATCTCGATTGGCCCGTTGCCATCTTCGCTTCTTGCCCCCGTCCCGTGTCCGCATTGGCCCTGCGCCCGCGTTATTGCACGAGGAGGCGCTTGCCGGCCGCGAAGCTTGCTTTCCCTTTTCCGACGTCCATTTGTTGATGCTTCCCCATCAATACCCTGTTGTGGAGGGAACAGACATCTCGCCTGTCACTTTGTACTCTCAGGGGTTACCATAACAACGTCGTCTTGATCGTCTGTTGCAAGTCTCAACCGCTGCCGACATCGTCAAAGGAGGAGACTGCATCTTTGCTTCTCGGGATTCCGTCCTGGCTCTTCTGTCTCTACCGTCGTCTGAAGTTGCATCATCACCGCATGGCATAGCAACCCCGCGGACCCTGACCTCGACACAAGACTGCTAAAGGACCATCGGCTTCGTGGCATCCTTGGACGTGAGCGGCAGATGGTCTCCATCATGTCCTACCAGTATCCTCCTCTACCAAACACTCCCGAGGTGGACATGTCTCACCCCGGGTACGCGCCCGGCTACAGCGCGCCGGCTCCGGGTCCTCCGATGATGGTCCCGAGATCCCACGATCAATCAATCAAGGAGCGCGAGGAATCCTTCCCACAGGCGAGTCTGAAGTTGAAACGTTCGAGGACTAAGCCTAATGTCAGACCGCGGCAGGCCAACATCCCCGACCCAAGCCAGGCTGCGTTGGCGAACGACAAGAAGAGAAACAAGCTAGGTTATCATCGAACCTCGGTAGCTTGTGGTAAGTGCTTGCCTCTGGCCGTTCCGGTCCTCGCCGGACGGTGGCAGACCCGAAGAGAGACGCGCTGACACTGCTCGGCAAGGACACTGTCGTCGACGGAAGATCCGTTGCATCCCCTCGCCTTCCGACACCCTGGGCAGATGTATCAACTGCATCAGACTGAAAAAGGAGTGTAGCTTCTATCCCGTAGACCAGCCACCGGCACCGCAGTCGACAGAGGCGCGGCCAAAGGCGCCATCCCGAGCTTCGACAGGGCCCAAGGTCACGTCTGCGTCTTCGTCCCCGGCCATGGCTCCTGGCCAGTCGCCGGACATGTCCCAATACCAGCAGTATCAGCACGTGGCGATGCCTCCGGCAAACATGGCCCCGCCTGCAATGAGACCGGCGGGCGTCGAAGGGGGTAAGCTGATGCGCTTGATTGAAAGCCGAGGAGTTGCTAACAGCACAATAGTGCCTTCTGGCGCGTCCTCGTCCTCTCGGTCGTTTGACTTTCAGGGTCAGCAAATGGCAAATTGGATGCCGCATGACGCGGCTTCCGGCGCTGCAAAGCCTTCTAACCTGAACGAGACGTGGACGTCGTACCCGCAGGAGTCTCCAATCACGCCGTCCTTTTCGCCGTACACTCCTCAAGGACCTGGCCCTGCCGGTTGGGGGGCAGCCATCAACACCGATCCTAACATTCGCGAAGAGATGAACTGGGCCTCTTTTGTACCGGCCGGCTCGGTGCCGTTCCCCGGTCAAGCCCAGATGCCGAACCAGTACGCCGCCATGCCTCAAGGCCGCTCCTTTGGAAGGAAATCATCGACCATGTCGATGGACATGTACTCAACCCCGCTTGCCACCTCGGTGGCCGGTTTTGACCCGCAAGGCGCATCTCTCTCCGCCGGCGCAGTGCCACCCGCGGGTTATGGATCTTGGGAGCAACCGTATACCTACACCAAGTCGAACGATGGAGGATATGAATGGAGCTACGACGACAGCCGCGAGCAGTAAGCTCCGACTTGACGACAGTATTTCGTCGAATGAAGTCAGTTCTCGCCTCAGAAGACTGCCAAACGATTACCAGACTCTACAAGTCAGCTATATAACAACAGAAGCGGAGGAAAACAGGAACTTTCAACAGCATTTGCATTTAACGGACCATTTTTGAAATTCAAAAGATACCCGCAACCGCTTTGAAAGCGGCATCATGCAGCCCGGCGCAGTAACGGAAGCAGCATTTGAGCGACTTCGATTCTTTCATTGGGAGGAAAAGGAGAGAGAGCAAGGATTCAAAAAAGGGACTGGGGAGCTTTTACCCAAATTCAGCAAGGCGAGGACGTTTTTGAACGAAAGGATGGTAGGGGATTTTGAGAAACGACGCGGCCTTGCGACACAACCCCTGAAGGAGGAAGTGCATTTTGTCTGGTTCAGAGGCCCAAGCTTGACGAGGCCTGCAAGACGGGGGTCACACGAGACGCCAAGTGATGGATCCTCGGAGCAATCGACGGCGCGAACCAGAGAATCGTCATGTCTGCTTCTGGTCGGCTCGATGACAAACAGCTTACACGCAGAGAGGATGGGGCGCCGCCTGCCGTTGCTGTTGCTGTCGTTGCCGCCCATGGCTTTCCGCGGTCTCGCTGGACAGGTTGATGCGCTTCTGCCATCAGAAACCACGAGCAGAAGAGCAAGGGACGTCAAATTTGGGTGTGTGAGCAAAGGCGCGGAGGCGGAGTGGGTGGGGCCGCAAGGGAGGATGGTGCCGGAAACCCGGTCCACGGACGGAGCGCCGCTTCAGTGTTCCCACGACGGCGCATAGCCCGTGGCAGGGTCAAAATCCTCCTGGCCTCGACGATAAGCATTGGTGAGTGCATCCTCAGCGCTGTTGTTAGGGTGAGGTGTAGTTGGATGGATGGAAGGACTGGCGGGGAAAAAGTTGAAAAAGGGGGCAGCAGCATTTAGGGGGTGCACACGCATTGCGGACGGTTCTGACGACGGCTTCATGTTCGATTCTTTATTTTTTGTGCCTTCTTCGTTTTCTTCGATTCGTATTCTCTCCTTCACAACTTTGCCCCCACACTCGTTTTCTTTTTCCTCCCATTCTCCGTCACACCCCTTTACGATTATGTAGATTTGACGCTTCTGATTGATGAGCCCTTTACAACCCCGCATCACTTCCCCCAGGCATGTGTAGTTACTTCATCTCGTTTCTCCATGAATAGACCATCTTCTCGAGGTTGTCGTCTTCCGCGATGGACGGCTCTTTGTATTGGTGTACCGCTGAAAGTAACCTATGTGATTCGGCGTCCTCTATGACGCCAGTAAATGCCCTGGCTACTCTGAAGTGGTCATGTACTATATCAAACCCTACGACGTCCAGCATTGAGTCTTGGAAAGCCCAGTATCATTGCCTTGGGTTGTATGTGAACGGCGTTTGTCTCAAATACAGCCGTGGAATGATCATATGGGACGCATCAAGATGCTGCGTGGCGCTGACTTTGAGACGGCTCAGTAGCAGGTAACCTTCTCCAGCTGCCTCCTTGATTGCCGTCTCGGTGAACCAGCTGCTGACGCTACTTTCAACCTAGCCCGGATCCCGAAAGACTTGGCTCGGTTAATGGTGGCCCGGCCCTGTCTGGCGTTTCGAGGCACGAACCGCTGCCGATGACGACGCTGCCGATGACGACGCTGCCGATGACGACGCTGCCGTGCTTAGTTGCCCCGGGTCCCGCCATCTCAACTCGATGAGGCCCCGTCCTAGTCTCCATGGTGACGAGCACCGACTCCCTCCAACGTCCTCCGCACTGCCTTTGCATTCCCTATGCTCTCCCATCCCATACCAAAACAAACTCACTGCACCAGCTGCCACGTGAGGACCAACAGCGTCACGTACGCCGCCAGACTGAGCACGGTGAGCAGGGCGACGCTGTTGCCCGAGGTGCGGAACTTGCGGACGACGGAGACGGAGCCGTCGGCGTCCTCCTTGGGCGAGGTGAAGAACTGGCGGTTGCCCTCGTGGCGGCGGTAGATTGCGACGAGCATGACGGCGGCGCCGTAGACGGCGAAGAGGGCGCCGATGGCGTAGAACTCGGACGTGAAGATCTTGAGGATGATGAGGGCGAAGGAGAACTGCGAGAGGGCGGTGCGCATGTAGGCGCCCTCAAAGGTCCGCTGGGCGGCGCGGATCTCGACGAGTCTGGGGGCGGTTAGACAGCTGCTGGGAGACGGTGATGACGGAGGCTTACTCTTCGGCGGTCAAGATGACCGAACGCGCCCTGTGAAGGCGCAGATGAAGATGGTCTTGAGGGTTTGGCTGTGGCGTGTAAGCGACGAGGACGAATGCTCACCACTTGGGTGGATTTCGAACGATGCGAACCTGGAACATGTTGATTTGGACGAGAGACGTTCAGAGAGCAATCAAGCTGTAGTGCTTTTGCAATCCGATCAATCCGACGCACAGAGATCGTCTTCAAAAAGGTGAAGGCTACGATGAGGGAAGGCAGGTATGAACATCCCCAGAGTCGACGATCACCAACGGCGGGTTTAGAGTTTCCTGGCAGGTGATCTCGGCCGCTGCTTGGCTCGCCGATGGTGTCGGGGATGCATCAGGTGCGGCTGATTAGATAAGGCAACAGCCGTGCAGCAGCCAATGGCCGATGCTCATGTGGAACAGCAGGGAGTTACGCCTGTTACCGACCTAGAGGTATTCATCGCAGAGTCTGTGCCATTGCGTGCATGGCATGGCATGGCATGGCGTCGTGCATTCGTCTGCTGTCGCAAGTGCTATCTGGCTTGCTCCCGCCCCAGGCCCGCATCGCGTAGCTCACTCAGCTCGGGGGTCTCTGGTGGACTCTGACAGACGCAAAGATCTTGGCAATCCAACGCCGCAGCGCTTCATTGGCGCTGCCGGCTGAGGACTGCTAAATCCATCCGCGGGTAGTGCACCGGTCCGGTCAGCGAGAGGTAATTCGTCAAGAGGACAATCAGGTAGCCCATTTGGCTTTCAACCTCGAGCAATGTGACGCAGTCAGGGTAGGTGAATGTCTCTGTCCACTGGTGCCAACAGACCCTTTGGTTCAGCTGGCAGTCGCCGGGGCTCGTTGCATCGGCGATCTCGAGTGGTTTCCTCTCCTCTCCTCTCCTCGTAGCTGTTTGCCAGTGTCGGTGCATCTTGACGACATCTGCCGGAATGCAATGCCCACGATGGCCGGGCCTGTGCCGCAGCGGCACACCGCAAATCGGGACGTCGGGGTCGGTGTGGCGCTGCGCAGCCTCGATGGTGCTTCTGTGCCGTGGTCGGCGAGGTGCACCGCCCAGTCTTCCTTGTCCTTGACAAACTGCGTGGAGTGGTCGCCCAGGGTTCCCGACGTCGATAAAATACACCGAGTGCCATCACCGCACCGCAGCTTTCGGCTATGCTCAATGGTGCCAGACCCCACAGATAGATATCCGTCCCTGGCGTCCGATGCGGCGCAACGTTTGCCATGTTTCGTGGATGCGAGAGCGATGACATGACCACGAAAGCGACGCGAAGAAACGCTTTGCTAGTAACGGTTCTTCCAGCGCTGCTGCGACAGTCAACGTGCCGCACCTGTCAGCCACAGCTCCGCGGGGATGCCATCCCGGAGCAGGGGCCGGACAATGACATCAATCGGCTGCAGGTCTGACTGACGATCGCCAGGAGGTTCTCGAGGCCAAACATTGCGACGTCCAAGGAAGAAAGGGACGGGTCGAATGTGAATCAGCCGGATATGGAAGTGTGCCTCTCGGTGAGCACAGGCTGACCGGAGCACGACCTGGAAGATTGAGCAGCAAGCAGCAAGCAGCAAACCAAGCATCAAGCATCAAGCATCAAGTTCCCGAGGGTCGAGGGATGCGGCAGTGGCTGCTTTCTGTAACGTGCTGCGTGGGCGACCAAGGGCGCGTCTGTGTCTGTCTGCCCTGGGGCTGAGGAGAACGCCCAGCGGGTGCATCAGAGAACGCCTCGCTCGTCGAGGAAAAGTGGAAGAAGTGCAGCTAGACCCTAAGGTACTCTGTGGTAGCATGGAGGTTAGGTAGTCGGATACCTCGGTTCACAGCGAAGGAGCGGTGGGCAGCGGAGGTCCCTTCCAATCTGGCGTTAGTAGCCCGCCCGGCCCCCATTCCGCCCTACGGCCAAGTGTGCCTGTGGCTGCTGCTACTTGCTGGGTACATAGTGGCTGCGTCCTCCACTCACAGCGGTCCCTTGATGTAGGGGACCCACCGTGCGGGGCGTCGCGCTGCGAGAGGTCCCGCGGAACGAACAAGACTGGGACTAAAATGCGAAGGGTAAGGGAAAGCGAGAAGACGGGAAAGAGGGGGAAGCTTTTCGGGGGTCCAGCGAAGAAACACGCAGCAGCGCCAAATAAGGTACGGGGCCACTGTAGGTAAGGTAGGGTTAAGTTACCACACGCAGTAGGTGTGCAGGTGGTGCTCCCTCGTAAGGTACCTTGTCTTGTGCCGGGTGGTTCGCATTTGCTTGCATTCCACTGGGCGGATGCCTTGCAGCAAGGCAGCCAGAGGAACCCCTCAGCATCGACGTATGGTCCTTTCTAGTGTAAGATGCTCCGGCTGGCCACTGGCTATCAGATGCTTTCCGTCAGATGTCTCTCAACTCTGCTCTCTTAGCATTTGCTACCTGTGAGAAAGCACATGCCTCCTCGCGGCGGTTGAGGTTTCGGCTGAACGACTGGTCTGAACCCTCGACTGGTCGTCCAAGACGATGGCCGTAGATGGTGTAGACAGCCCGAACAAGCCAGGAACCTTATGGGACCTGGACCTGGACTGGACCTGACTACGTACGGCCTGCTGCCCCCTCTTCAACTGTAACCGCATCTCGTCGAGCAGAGGGCGGCGTTGTGGCGGCGCATTACCGCCTCGGTGGGCTGCGCATCCCGACCAGGATGTTGCCGCCCACACACGACACGAAATCCGACCGAGACAACTCGATGTGGGATGGGATGGGATGGGAGCTCTACCACGCACCACCAAGGTAT